TGACAGCTGCTGCCGCTGCCTCGTCCGCAGCATACATCAACGCCAACAGGCGTAGGGCTTCGGCAGTTGTGCTCGCCATTCTAGCTGCCTGCTCACGATACCGTCTCGTACGCGGACTATGCAGATGCAACAATCGTGGTCGTGATGAGATGGGATCCGTATACCATACCCTTTCGCCAGTCTCTCCGCATGTGCTACGACGAGCTGATTCTGTGTGAGGTGTTCTCGCTGCAGTAGTTCTTCGTGCCCCTCGCCTAGTCTRTCTTGCCCGAGAGGAAGGGGCGGATGAACGACAGGCCGTATTCGACATTGTCGTATGCTTCTTCCCATAGGACGCACCCTCCTTTCTGTCCCTTTCAAACTGCCTTCTTTGTCGATGGCTGGTGGAAGGCAAACTCGGATGTCGTCTGCYAGGACAGAGATCGCAAGGGCATGTGGACGTCAACGTCGCGTGCAAATGTGACGACAAAGGGCGTGACGCAAAGCTTTACCCGCAACAGATTCAGCGCCTGTTGTCATGCCATGCACACGGTGTCCCGCCCGCCGGTCGTTCGCTAACAAACGCGCTCCACGGCCCAACCCTCGCAACACAGCATCAATGTTATCACCCCTGTCTATTAGAATGTTATGCAGTATACATACCGCATGGAACTGCTTCGACAGGGTCTTTATGTTGGCCCAGTGCGGTCTGTGAAAATTTTGGAACCGGCCTTTTAAAACGTTGTTTCCACGCTCACTGTCAACACGCACCAATTTCATACGCGAGTTAAACACAGTGCACTCGGGACTGTTGTATGTGGGACCATAGGGGGTGATTAGCCAAGGGAGTAGGGGATAACCAGCATCCCCTAGAAGGTAACYGCCAGGTACATTGTTAATACATGCAAGGTCTYTGTGTCTGATATCCTGAATGAAAAGGTTTCCTGAACGAGCACGTCRGAACAAGGATGAATTTTTAAGAACCAWGGAATYATGGACTGTACCRGGAAGACCTACGTGCACGTCAAGTATACGAAGATTGTGATCGAACACGAGCTGCGCCACAACTGAGAACCTCTTCGTTCTTCCAGAACAGTACGTGTCACTGCAAACATTAGCGGGCTTAGCAACATAAATATGAGTGCAATCAATGCAACCCCAGCAATCGGGGAAACCATGGGCCACGTAGTATGCCATGGAAGCCTGACGATCGGCGGCAGTGCCAAAGGAGATTGCATTAACGAAACACTGGATGATGGCATCCGCCACGTCCTCCACGGATCTCAACCCTTTGTCGTTCCCATCTGATAACCCCCTGCACTGTGACGGAAACTGTCTCCGGTGGCCCAACGATGAATGGTGAAAGCCAGTAAATGGGCAGGAGCGAGAGGGCGCCTGAACCGTGTGACTTGTCGTATCAGACAG